AAAAAAAAAATACTCCTTTTTAAATCCTGGTCAAATTTTTATAGCAAGCCCATTTATCAAACAAATCTAATGAATATGTGTTCCCATTCTGGGTTTTCCAGGTATGATTTATTGACAAGGAGGCCTAGGTTCTTAGGATTCAGGCCAACCATAATTTAAAAACCATACTCATTCTTAGAGAACACAGAAGGTGAAGTGGCTCATCTTATTTGTACAATTAGCTAGTCTTTCCGGAAGGTTAACAGGCCTCGATGTGCAAATGTTCGAACTGTAACTAAAACAAGGCAAGCACTCTTAATCATTGTACCACTTAGTCTCTGCCAACATATTGGAACCTCTCTCACGTGAGTTCTTCCAGAACATCAAGTTTGTTTTCTATTCAACATTTGTACAGGCATGCTTTTTGGTTCAGTGTTTCCTTTAAATTACCCTGCTCACTTCCATAAAGAATACCAAAGTCCTTAAGAAGCAAATGCTTCAGCTTCCATCGCCCCTTCATAAATCTACCTGACTTACTTCATTGTAATTATCCCCCCTCTCTGCTCGCCTTTCCTACTTTATCACTTAATTTGCTAATTCTGGTTCTCCCCTTCTGCCACAACAGGCTTCAAGGCAGATACAATGCCTTTTCTTTTGTAAGCACATACCTTTTTAAGAGAGCCTACTGTTATTGTAAAATCTGATCTGTATTATCAATGAATAACCAATCAGTAATTATAAGGTAACTCCTGCTTTCTTTATAAAATAAAATCTAAATCAGTTTCACCTAAATGAAAATTTGCTAAATATATCCACATATAATTACAATCATATAATATCTCAATTTAATCTTTTATTTTATCAGCATAATGCTACACAAAGCAATAAACATAAAAAATAAAGAATAAACAAGTTTCCTCCCTGTGTTTCCTGTAGGTCTCACTGATTCTCTGATCTCTTGTATTAACGTGAGCATAAAACATTATCTAGATACTAAAATGTCTCACACTTTTCTCACATTTAAATAAGATCAGTAGTCATTACAATCAAATCCATTTTGGGGGGCGGCCAGGTGGCTCAGTTGGTTACAGCACGTGCTCTGAACAACAAGGTTGCCGGTTCAATTATCACGTGGGCCAGTGAGCTGCGCCCTCCACAACTAGATTGAAGGACAATGACTTGACTTGGAGCTAATGGGTCCTGGAAAAAACACACTGTTACCTAATAAAAGTTAAAAAATAAAACAAAACAAAACAAAAAAAACTGGCAGGAGGGGAGGGAAGCAAAGAAAAGAAAGAAAAAATCAAATCTATTTTAAAGCACTACTAAGCTTACAGAAGGCTGACGAAAAACTTAACAGATACTAAAAGTATCATTACTATTATGTGAACTGCTAAAGTTCACTACTGCAGAGCAGTAGGGAAAGGATAATGTTCTGATAAGTGGTACGAGGACAACAGAAATCCCACTGCGGGATAAAAACCAAGTTGAACCTGCACTCACACCATACCTAAGAAGTAGAACATGAAAGTCAAAATAATAAAGCTTTTAGAAGATAATAAAGGAAGATATCTTCATGATGTTGAAGTAGGGAATGTTTGAAGATGTACAAGATATTTGGAACACATTAAGTGACAAATATATGTAGAATATAAAAATAATTCCTTTAAATCGTAAGAAAAAGACATAGAACACAGTAGAAAAATGGACAAAAAACTTCAAGAAACATCAGTAGATGAAATGCATGTGACCTATATAGTGTATACAAAGGGTGGCCAAAAATGTATACACGTTTTAAGAAAGGAAAAAAAACTATTAAAATTGTAATACTCAATATATACCAATAACAAAAGATGAATACAAGTCACGTTTGATTTCTGCAATTACAAGAGGTGTTCAAAGTGGTTACGATCAGTGTCCAGACACTACTGATTGCAGTGAACTACTGCTTGAGCAACACTGACCAAAGTGTTCATTTTTATACATTTTTTTTGGCACCCCCGGTATAAAGGTAACCACCCTCATTAAAATCAGGAAATGAAAATTAAAACCTCAATCTGATACCACTACATATCATCCAGATTAACTGTGTATTTAAATAGCAGAACACCAAAGACAAAAAGCAGCAGGGATAGGAAGGTTGGGGGTAAGACTATTGGTTAAAGAAACAACAGCTTGACAGCTGACTTCTTAAGATTAACAGTGGAAGGAAGATGACAATGGAATAAAAACAATCAATGTGCTTTTATAATTAACTGCCAATCTAGGATTTTATAGCCAACAAAACTGATCTTCAAAACTGAATGTTGTAGGCTAGCTGAGAGGCACGTTGGTTAAGAGCTGGCTTGGGATGCCAAAGGGCCCCAGTTCGGATCCCACATATGAGGGCCAGTGACACTGCCCTCTACAGCTAAGATGCTGAACAACAGCTCAACCTGGAGCTGGGCTGCTGTGAGNTATATATATATATATATTCCACTACACAGATATGTCATAATTAACTTAATTATTTCCTTAGTGTTGGACAAACATACTAATTCCAATTTTTTACTACCTTACGTAATGTCTCAATAAACATTTCTAGGCATAAAGCATTTCCTATATTTATGATTTCTCTTTAGAATATAATCCTATTACCAGAATTGCTGGGTCAAAAGACACGAACATATTTCGTCTCTTGAACATACTGCCCGACTGCTTCTAAATAAATTACATGGATTTACACTCTCACCAATAAGGCAGTCACATTGAGAATATATTTTTTTTAATTTCAACTTACATGAAAGGCAAAAACTGGTGTAACAGTAACTGTTGTTTTGATATTACTCATTACTAGGAAGCTGAATATCTTTTCACATGTTTATTAGTCATTTGCGTTTTCTTTCATATGAATTATCTGTTGTTTTTCATTTGCTCATTAATCAAAGTCTTAGTGCTTTACCAGTTGATTTGTATATAATTTCTTCCACTCTCTTAAGCTTGGAAAGTCTTCTATTTTCTTTGTGCTTTTTTATACCCAATAATAGTTACCATGTCAACAAATCTTTTCTTCTATGCCCTCACAAGCATATCTATCTAGTCTCTACTTGTACATCAAAATCATCTGTGGGAATTCATCTCAGAGATTTGGATTCAATTAGTAAAAGACTGAGCTAGGTAAATGTATTTTTAAAAACCTCAAACTGAAAAGGTAAAAAACAACGCAATACATTCTAAGGTAGAATGAGCATTAGCTTTTGGTCTGTTTTTTTTTTCCTGGTGTCCCAAAAGTTGCAATGAACCTGACTTTAATCTACTGAAAACAATGAGGGGGAAAAAATGACATATAATAAATTTCTTTGGAAGAAGTAAGATATCACTATTAATCACGGGATTTTACAAAAGCCACATCTCTTACCTGGTTGGAGAGTACTAGGAAAAGACAAGGTGACTTTTTCATCTTCATTCTGATAGTTAAATCCTGTAGCATGTATTTCTGGAATGGAAAAAAAAACAAACCATTACAATAAATCTGACTTTACTGATAAGACCAAATCTAGACTGCAGCAATTAACATTTTCAAGAGCAAAGTATCTACTAAATATTCCTTTTTTTTTTGTAACTACTCCATTTTGACTGGAATCAGAAACTAAATATTGTTGATTTAATAAATTAAGTTCCTACTAACTAAAGTGTCATTAGAAACTAACCTATTTAAGGCCATGTGACCTAAGTCCAATGTGCTCCCTAAAAACAATCCTTACACATCCTTCATTAATTCACAAAACTTTATAAAGGAAATAGGATTACTATAAATGTGAAAAGGTTTTTTATCAGATTCTCAGACATGCTTCATTCTCACACCTTTGTGTGACAATATTCTGTGTTTCAGTCTCATTCATGAAAATTTGAAGACTGAGCAAATGGCTGAGATTTCCAGTTAACGATATATCAGTGAAAGTTCTATTTGTATAGATATACTTATATATACTATATATATACATAGAATATTTCTGAATGGATTCACCAGACAGTGGAAGTGGAAGGGGTCAGAGAGAGACTGCTTATTTGACTGATACTTCAGAAAACTTAATTGACACTTCAGAAAGAGCTAAGCAGATCAATTTCTAACCACATCACATCCCCATCCCAAATGAAACAAATGAAAAGTTCGTTAGTCAAAGAGGTAGCCTTAATAAGCACATGAAAAGATGTTCAACATCATTACCCATCAGGAAATGCAAACCACAGTGAGATACCACTTCACACCCACTAGGATGACTATAATCAAAAAGACAGATAATAGTAAGAGTAAGGGAGGATGTAGAGAAATTGGTTGATAACACTGCTTGATATTAGGAAATGTAAAATGGTGCAGCTGCTTTAGAAAACAGTCTGGCAGTTGCTCAAAAGATTAAATATAGAGTTATCAACATGATCACTCCTACGTATACATACATCAAAGAGAAATGAAAAACTGTACATCAAAGAGAAATGAAAAGCTATGTCCACAAAAACTTATACACAAATGTTCACAGTAGCATTACTCATAATAGCCAAAAAGTGGAAACAACCCAAATGTTCATAAATTGATGAACAGATCAAATGTGGTATACAACAAAGTATTATTTGACAAGAGAAGAAATGAAGTACATACTGATATATGCTACAATATGGATACAACTTTAAAACCTTATGTTAAGTGAAAGAAAATAGAAACAAAAGGCCACATATTTAGGAGAAACGTCCAGAATAGGCAAATCTAAAGAGACAAAAAATAGATTAGTGGTTGCCTAGGACTGGACCAGCGAGGGGAAATGCAAAGTGACTGCTCATACGTAGTTTCTTTTTGGGGTGATGAAAATGTTCTAACATTGATTCTGGTGATGGCTGCACAACTCTGAATATACTAAAAGCCAATGACTGAATTGTGCATTTTAAATGAATGAATTGTACGGTATGTGAATTATATCTCATTAAAAGTGTTATGAAAAGAGAGAAGTAGCTTTATCAATCACAGGCTTAAGTTAGATATGGGTAACAGTGATTCAGATTAAACAATATTCTATAAGCCAGGCAACAAGATGCTCCCAATTTATTATTATTTTTTTTAATGAATCACCCAAAGATTGAATTTCCAATGTTTCTAATATCATTATGTTCTAATATCATGTTTCTAATATCAAAGACATGTAAATATGTCTTTATAAAGCCAAAATCTTTACAAAACCAATAAGAAACTATAATTTCAGATTTTAAAAGAACTTTAATCAATTACTCCTCATTTTACAGATGAAGAAAATGAGGTATTATAAAGTTAATGGGGACAGCCGAGAGGCGCGTTGGTTAAGAGTTGGCTTGGGATGCCAGCTCTGAGCAGCAGGTCACCAGTTTGGATCCCACATGTGGGCCAGTGACGCTGCGCCCTCTACAGCTAAGATGGTGAACAGCAGCTCAACCTGGAGCTGGGCTGCTGTGAGTTGCCCACGGTAGCGTAGGATGGAGTGGGGATGGCCAGCAGCGAGCATGAGCTTTCGTGAGCTGCCGTCCAATGGCTGGCAAGTGACTGCCTCACCCGGGAAGAGCACAATAATAATAACAACTTGGGCCAGTGAAGCAACAGCCTCCACAACTAGACTGAAGAGCAAAAGGACAGCAACTTGTCTGTTCTCCTCCCCCGATTCCCCAATAAAATCTTAAAAAAAAAAAAAAAAAGTTAATGATTTGCTTAGTTAAGGTCACATAGCTATACTAGAACCAGTTTCCTTCCTATTCCTACTGCCAAAATTCTTTCTAATATCATAAGCTAGCTCCTAAATTTGAACAGAAACTCAAGACTATATATAGCATATATACAATACTGATGAACTCTCTACTGAAACAATGACTTTTGCTGGCAAAAAACTAGATCTTTGCTCTAAGTGATTCCTAAGCATAAAATGATACTTAGGCTACAGGAAAGCCAAGAATCACCACAATGCTTAAGAATGTACCTTTCTGGGCTGGCCGAGTGGCGCGATGGTTAAGAACTGGCTTGGGATGCCAGAGGGCCTGTTTGGATCCCACATACGAGGGTCAGTGACACTGCCCTCCACAGCTAAGATGCTGAACAACTGCTCAACCTGGAGCTGGGCTGCCATGAGTCACCTGCGACGGCATAGGCTGCAGCCCCTGTAGCAGTGGGTTGCCATGGGCTACCGTGTGCAGCCAGCAGCCAGCATGAGCGGCCAACAGCCGCAGTGAGCAGCCGTCCAGAAGCCGGGCAACTGATCTGCCTCACCTCGGAAGAGCGTAATGATGGTGCCAACTTGGGCCAGTGAAGCAA